ATCCAACTCGATGACACTCCCTGGAACTAACATGGAAGTGGAGTTCACCGCCATGTTTTGTAGAGGATTTCATGGTATTCCAAGTGGCCATGACATGGGGCTGTGCCACCGTGTGAGTTCCAGGGGCGCACAGCGACCGAGACAGCTCTGAGGACACTCAAGGAGATTGCCCGCGAGTCGCAAGTGTGCCCTAACTGCCACGTCCGGGTGCAGCGCAGCGCTGGGTGCAATCACATGACGTGCACCCAGAACTGAAAATTGTGCGGTGTGTTTTTGGTGTTGGGGGTGGGGCCCGCCTCTATACTGAAAGGATTGATTTACTGTAGATTGATGGTCTTCACTCCCCAAAAGCTCTGTCAACAGATGCACGAGATGTTGGGCATAGACTTAGATTCACGAGATTATGCATATTACATCATAGTATTATTGCCTTTTTGATATGCACAGATTCACCAATTTCACTTTCACGAGGGCAACCTGTCGCATTCACCTTTCCTTGTTTGACCATGCTTTTGAGCCTTTGGCGCTAGTTTCATGGGCTGTTTTGCCTTAGCAGCTTAGCATGCCATAGACATTATGTTCCAGAGGACCTTCTTACTCCACTCACTGATGCATGACTTGCACCTAAGTTTCTTGCCAATGATTTCGTCCAGTATCATTGCTTGGGGATCCAGGCAGACCGTTTGGGATTTGGCGGTGCTTGCTGCTACTTGTTTCAAAGCGTCCTTATTTGGATCCCCAGCCACTGTGCTTTCGGAATTTTCTTGAAGCGTTGGGCACACCTCGTTTGTCTACGAAAAAGACTCTCCGTTTGAGATCTTGACAACAGGTTGACTGTCTGAGCGACACATTTGAGTAAACCGATGTCGTGAACTGGCATAGTTTGGTACAGAATGTTTTGAACTTGTTTTTTTCATGAACCGATATGCCTCAGGCACCCGGTGCAGAACCCACTTCTGCTACAGTGGCCCGGTGTGGAGTGTGGGAGACGTGGCGCGTAGGTAGGCTCTCAGCAATCATCAGCCGACGACCTGACCAGCTCATTAGGAGTCCTCCATGCTATTCCTCTACAGATCTACTACAGTCTTAGTCTTTGGAACATCTTTTCAACCACTGGTTACCATGCAGTGCATGTATGGCCTGGATCCACTGGGCAGGCCCCCAGGCCCCTCCCGCTCACTGGATCCCGCCACCGAGACTCGATCACGGCGGCATCGACGGCGATGACTCACGTCGATGACGCTCTGAGGATGCGGGAAGAAGTTGGACCCCGAAATGCCCTACAACCACTTTAGCGCCACCGGCTGCACCACCTTCGACACCGAGGAGGTGCGACGCATGGCCATGCAACAGCGAGACCGCCAGGGACAAGGCGCCCCGCCAGGGACGCCGAGACGGCAAGGCTTCGGAAGTCAGGAGCCCGAGCCGAACGGTGTGTGGTGCTTCGGTCCTGCAAGGTTCATTCCGTGTTCAGTGCTTTTTGTAATGACGGTGGAGTGGCGGACACACCGGTGGGTCGCGGAACAAAAGAGACCCGACTTGGATGTGTAACTATAGTCCTGCTAACTTGATGCAACTCTTTTCAATTCACCAGACATGTTTGCTTTAAAGAGCCGGCAAAGGACAGCTGTTGCCTTTGTTCGGCATGTTTGGGCGACTCATTGGCACATTGACTGATTGACTGACGGTTTCAAACTTGATCACGGTATATGGCTCTTTGGTCCAACTGGGAGACCTTGGTTGACCACCGAAAATGAACAGAATAGACTTACAAGGGAGTCCAGGAGGTCAACATACCAGGGATTAGGGCTTCCTGGGTTTTGACCCACAGCCTGTCGCCCATGTTCAAGGCACCCTGACACCAAGCCTACATGACCCTAGCCAGACCATCCATGTATGAATAGTTATATATATATATACCTATAACTAACATTACATGGATGGTCTGGGCTAGGTGACACCACACCACTTGAGATATCTTATGAGCATAAGACCTGGGTCTCTTCAATTCGGCGCGTTCTTGGAAGGTTGGGGGGGTGGAATTCACAAAAATGGGGCGCAGATGACTTCAATTCGAAAGACATACAGTAAATAAGGTTGGGAGAAGCGAAGGCCTCCACTCTCCTAGCGATGGCCTCCAACCTAAGAGCAATGGCCTCCAACTTGGCAGGTCGGGAGGGCACATGAGAAGTCATGAGAAGCACCGGGTGGGGCGTTTCCTTGCCCACGAGGCTTCATCGATGTGGAGCTGGAGCGGCTGCGGGAGGAGTTTGGGGAGCAGAGGGACCTCTTCGCCCAGTTCGAACGGCAGCGGCCCGGGGTGAGGCGTACGAGTTGGGTTGGTGGTGGGTAGTTGGCGGTTGGTTCAGGAAAAGGGTGTGACATGGTGTGACATGAGTATCTCTTTGATTCTGGCTCCACATGGTTGAATGAGATTCATGGTAGGAACAAAGGGCATCGCTACTAGCAGTGCACGCTCCGCGGTCCAACCGCTCGCCAGGCCCGAACGAGCGGTGCGCCTGGGCCGGCGGAACATCGCGGATCGTTTGCGGAACGGCGAGGTGCAGTGCCCGAGCTGCGGGCAATGGAACGGCTGCTTGGAGTAAGGAAGGATATGAGGAAGGGTGAAAAGAGCTTTGGGCATCAGATGGGTGATGGGTAGGTGGGATATCAGATGGGATCAGATGAGTAGATGGCATGATTGTAGTATGGATCCCTTTTTCAAACTAGCTTGTGGGCGTGTGCAGTCCACTAGTGCTTTGAACAGAAACAAGCTTGAGCATGAAATTGCTTTTAAACATCAGAACGGCAAACCTGGCTAGGAACACCAGTGGCTCATGGAAATTCACATGACCCCCCAAACACATTGGAATCGGGACACAATACGAGACATGCCATTCACTTCTATGCGAGGTGTCCGTTTGTATGTTGCGTGGACATCCCCTGCGTCAATATGTTGTTGCTGTGCTTTCGCACCCATGACAAGCGTTCAAGTTCCCCAGCATGTTAATTGATTTGGTCGACTCAGGAGCTGCGAAATCTTCTAACTCGGATCCCCAGCTTCAAGTTTCTCATACTTTTGGAGTTTGCAGTGATTACGCAAATCGAGAGAACTCAAAAAATTCTTGTTGAACAGGAAGCCGTGAAAGGATCTAGTTTGGTACAACTGTTCTGGCCCAGGATCACTAAGTGAGGTCGTGTGGGTGGGCTGAACCACATCCGCTGTGGCATGTGTCGCGGCTCCTACTGCGGGCACTGCCGGAGGCGCGGACAGAGTGAGCTACTAGTACCGCGAGATCCAACCCCAAACACACCATGTATGGTATCAACACATGAATCTACGTTGGGGTTGTTTTGGAATGTTTTTTGGGGGTCAATGTGGTAGGTGATGTATACACATGGCACATGGGGCATGTAACGTAGGATCATGTAGGAAGGCTCGGACATCTACTTCCGCCAAAACACCAATGGTGCCAGATCCTTTTGCAAACCAAATGCTTTCCTTTTGAATCTGTGTCATGGACTTCTTGAAATCACTGTAGCTAAGCGGGTAAGGTCAGGGGTGGTTATGGTTAGGAACCCAGCAGAGTGCCTGACAAACAGACACTGACCATCGCTGTGAAAAGCCATGGGGGGTTGCTGGGAGACCATTGGCATTTGCTCAGAAGGATGGGGAGCTGAGCACAGCTGGGCAGACCCCGTTTTGATAAAAATGGGAGAGAGAGGGAGAGAGACATGCCAAACTCAAGCACTTTGGAAAAGTTGGATGGGTAACTGTGGGTACTTGCTTCAGCTTGTTTCAGGATCGCCAGATCCTCAACTGAAAAATCGAGTATACTGTATACTACTACTGCTGCTGCTGCTGCTGGTGCTACTGCTGCTGCTACTACTACTACTACTGCTCCTCCTACTACTACTACTACTATCAGACCCTGCAGTAGGAGGTATTCCATGCTCCACATACGCTGAATCGGAGGCGGATCCAGGGCGTGATCACGCAGCATTTCCGTGGGGAGCAAGCGTGCCCTCAGCACATGCGCGTGGAGTGATCCGTCTTTTTTTTTGGTCTCGGAGGTGAGACACGCAACAAGTCGCCAGGAAACCTTGGTAGCCCCATCCGTGAATGCGTCAAACAACTTCTGCAAAGAGTTACCCCTGGCTGTTTTCTTGGGGCCCAAGCATCAAGGCCAATCAAGGCCATTGGTTCTCAACTGCCATATCAACGTTTCTCATTGTGGCTTTAATTTTGCCATACATGGGCACTTCATTGTACGTAGCTGGATTTGGCGACTGGGGATGGCCCGAAATCGGGCAACCAATTGTGCAGCCCCCCCAGTCCCGACTCCGAGACAAGGTCCCGGAAGAAGGTTTCAGCACAGTGATGACAATCCTGTGTAGAGAGACGCAGCCAGGCGCGCGGTCGTTTTCAGCGCAGCCAGAAGCATGAGTTGAAAAAAAGGAGCGAAGGCCGGCCTCTACAAAGTACATCGAAGTACCAAAGTTTTGGTGAACATGGAGTGGTGTGACCCAAGCGGGTGGATTCTAAGAATTCCCCACCCCCTGCTAGAGGATCAACCTTTTCTTGAGCCCTTTTGTTCCCGTTCTCACGTTATCACTGATTCCTCGTCATGTTGTGGGGCAAAACTGTACGGCAATCATTCGTTGAGGAGGGGAACACCCATGAACACACATCATGAGAAAATTGAAACATTGACCCCTGCATGACCACTCTCCCACTATCAATATGCAACATCTTTGATTCTCCGTGGATCTTTTTGCTGCGGGTGTCTAGAAGGCACAAGTCCATGCTTCGAAGCACCTATATTTAAATCTGATTCCACTCACTTATTAGATGATGGTTTAATACATATATATATATATATGTATCCCAGACACTCATGGGACTGCCATAGGACTGCCGTGCCTACATTGGGGTGGTTAGTTTTGGGGGTTCTATGGCAGTCCCATGTGTCGTGTCTGGGTAAGCCACTCGCTCCAAGGCTCGGGACTCGAAAGGCTCGCCGGGAAGGCGCCGATTCCCGCACCACGGGCGCGGCGTAGCTAGGGGAGAAGAGGGACGCCATGGGATGTAGGGGGTAGGTAGGGTATATGCACAAGCTATGGACAAGCTTTGTTCATCCATTCTTCATGGTTTTATCATCCCATCTCGTGCCGTTTCCTGTTTTCTGACGATCTTGAGGTTGAGAGTGGGGTGTTTGGGTTTCTTGGGGTTTGCTCGGGATACCATGGACCATGAGCCCTTACTCATCTCGCAGAGGAGTCCACTACTGTAGTTGAAATCACCTATACTAATTACTGTAGTTGATGAATGAAATGTAGGCAAGCTGACAGGGGGGGAGTTCAGCACCTTACAGTGACCTAGCCAGCAATGCTGCACTGGCTTCTCAAGGCCTTGCTGTTGCGATGTCACCCCACCAGATGTTCGCCGTCACCTTCAGATCAGTCGGAAGCGCGGAACACGAACGTCACATGAGGCGGAGATCGGTGTCCACGTGCGGCCGCCCAAAATCGGAGCCCAGCAGACCCCGTTGGGAGCGCCATGAGGGCCGCCCTAAGCAGACTTCTGGAAGAAGGAAGTAGACCAGAACCAAAACCCAGACAGAATGCAATGAACACGGGAAAGACTATGGAGCGTATGAAGAACTGGCGGGCAGCAACCAATTCACGTTTGGCTTTTCCGAGTGAAGGTTCACTTGGGGGTTGGCATGGTGGCACACAAGGCACACGTCAGATGCGGAGGGCGCTTCAAACTGAAATCAGTGTTCCAGTCGTATGTAATGCTTCTAGGTGTTTGATGTTCTAGGCCATGTCGGACGTTTTCACCCCTTCACCATTCCCATGCTGTCCGGGTGCGGTATTTTCTCTGCTAAGAGCAGTAGCCACAACGTGCCACAGCTCCGAATAGTGCCCGCCCAGTCACGATGTCCCCAACTTTGGCTGAGCGACGTCCATGTAAAAAAGGCAATCAATCCAAAGTCTACATCAAAAAGGCAGTACTGTTGATGATAATCCGGAACCAGTTAGACAGTAGTTTCGTTTCAACAGATCAGTCACCAACATTTTTTGAGTCAAACAGTTTCCAATTCTTGAACGTGGGAGACCCACACTCCAGGCCCAGCTGCCCCAGCAGGCTGGGCGGGAGGAGCTAAGCGAGCGAAGAGCGAATTGGCACCGCATTCAGGAGGTTCCAAAACCACTTCCCACGCACAAAACAGGGCGCCAAGAACGTGAAACACGATGCTTCGCACTGCCTTGGGGGGTCATCATATACTTATCCTGAGCCGCATTTTTTCGCAGAATGATGTCCCATTCAGGGGCCTGGAGTGGGCTGTGCTCATGCAACCCTTCCTGGGCTCGAGCCTAGTCCGGATGAAGTCCTCCAGGGTCCACGTGTTCCTCGAAGTCAGGTCTTCCAGGTCCATGTGGGTCAGGCTGTTACCGTTACCCCTCCCAAGACACTGCTCAACGGTGACTTCGTTGCACTCTTCAGTGGGGTGTGACCACACAGCCGAGGACCCGGAGGGGAAAAAGAAACTGGCCTGGCTGTACAGGTCGAGAGCTTCCAACAGGTGCATCCCACTTGGTGCAGGAGTTGCCCGCTCTATGTGACCCACCTTCCTCTCCATCCAGAATCCTCGCAATCACCCCCGCCCCAGACCGTGCGCGGCCTCTGCGTGCCGCCACAGGCGTACCTCAGTCCCTGCTTCGCCCTCACCCTTCAAAGCCACGCCCTCTCCAGCCAAGCCACGGCGCCTTTGGGCAGGTCCGGGCCTGGAAAGATGGCATGGCGGGGGCAGATGGACCTGGTCTAAGATGGAAGAGAAGGAACCGACCCCAGAAGAGATGGATCCTGGAAGACCTTGAACACAGCCGCACTCCCAAGTCTTGCCAACACCTCGAGCCCAAAGAGTCGAAGAGAGTCCGAGTCCGAGTCCCTGCATGAGTCTGAGTCCGAGTCCTGGATGATTCACCGGATTTGGAATGAATCTTCCAGCTCACTCGATCACAGCGCTTCAGGTGGACCCAAGATCAGCCCCAACGCCAGCCCGGCGAAGGCGGGCTTCTGCGCACCGCTGCCCTGCGGAGGTACGAGAACGTGAAGTTTGATTCATCGCAAGTGAAGAGCCACGCCATGCCACGCCAGACTCAAGAAAGCACATGCCAGAGTAGATTGGGAGAAGGATGATGGCCCACCAATCGCGCCAGTTGTGTTTATATATATATATATACTGTAAATAAAATTGATCTTATATATATAATTGGTTCATTCCACGCGGTGCTTGGTATTCCCTGCTCTTCTTGTGGTCAACCAGGTTTTCTGCATGAGGGGTAAAAAGGAACTATCAATTCATCCATACTTCCATGAGCCTGCACTGGCACTACACCTGATGTGTGGCGGCAGCGGGGCAGCATGTAAGGGAGATAAAGGGATAAGCAGACCCCTTGATGGTGTGAGAATTGGTTGTCTTTTGGTGTCATACAAGTTCTTTCTTCGAAGACTGGAATTGTTCCTTGAAATCATCTCAAGACACGAGCTTTTCAGTTGGCATCATCTCAATTTGTAGGTTCTTGATGCTGGTGAGAACATCTTGAATGAATATCTACAGCAATTTTTCCGATCTTTCCTGTACATAGTAGTAACAAGAAGCCACTTTCCGGAACAGTTCGGGCATCGCTCGCTACACACGGAGCGATCGGACGCTACGAACGTAGCGCTAGTAGCCCAGGGCACTCCGCCCTGCCGACGACGGAGCGCCTCGGAGGGGCGCCTCACTGCGACCGGTGAAGGCCACCGGTGACGGAACGGCGGAACGGACGAGAAGTGCTAGTGGCAAAAGGTAATGGTGGATGTTGTTCATCCCGTAAAATTGGACCAGAATGCAGGAGTTGATTCGATGTGCTCGACTTGGAGTTTCTTGTTCTCTTTTACTGGTTGATGAGTTCACTACTCCCTATATAGTGTTTACTTTGAAGATGTGTTGAATATTGTGGGGTTCGCTCATCTACTAATCCAATAAGATCCAGTAAGGCGTGGATTGCATCATGAAAACATAGCTCTCCTGGAGCTGTGCGTTTTCCGTATGGAGGCCAGGCCAGCAGCGGTGCACGCAGCGAGCGGCGGCCAGCATCTGACCTGCAGGTGATGTTGTCAGTTAAGGGGAGGCAGGGGTGGCAGGAGTTTGGACCTAGTTTCGGGAAAAGCCTTCAGATCAATCACGGTCAACCTCTCCAACAGATATTGGGAGAGAAACAGTGTTTTTTTGTTTGCTTGGTGTTCATGCGCGCCGTTTCGTGCAGTCTGCTGCTCTATTGACCAATCAGGTCTAGGAAGACGACCAGCAGAAACAACGCCATGCCCCAGAAGCTGATGAACCTTGTTTGTTCTTTTGTTGCCCAACACCACCGGCGGAAGTTGTGGTCACCCTGATTGCAAGCAATTGAGTCTTCAAGTGAGGGCCACGCTTCCATAGGGATGTGTATTTCAACAGGGGGACCCACAACCAATGTTTATTGGTCATGTCGGGTCGATTTCCCGAACCTGTAAAGGGGGGTCTTTGGGAGGTCTCCCTATTTAAAGACATCACTATGCAGATGCTCCATGTCATGGAATATATATATATATGCATTGGGGTGGCCTATTTGCGGGTTCCCATGGAGCTCTGGGCACGTCTGGTGGCACTCTGGAGTCTCCGAGATGGCACGAGGAGGGCGCCAACCCGGGCCGTCGCCCTGACGGGAAGGTTTTCTTTTTGGGGGTCAGCAAGACCATCGGTTAAGTCAGAGATCTTCAGACTCGACTGAGAACATTTAGATAAACAATGATAAACAAGACAGAACGGATCTCACGAGGCCTATAGTGATTTGCAAGAACAAAGTGCACCATTGCTGAAGACAATACCGTGCCCAGAAACGATCAAGTCGTTGGAGCTTTCATGACCCCTGAGGCAAGGGAAGTGAAGACGGCCACGTCCGCAGCCCCGGCGCAGCACGGTGCACATGCAGTTCATCGGGCTTCTCACCCACGAGGGGACAGACTGGCAGTCCATGGCAGTCCTCTTCAGTGGGTCGACCGTAGAACTTGAACTTGGACAAGTAGACTGACTTGTTTTTGGTTCAAGGGACCAACTCGGAAGCAGCCTGAAGTCAGGCGCAATGTACAGATCCGGATGTTGGATTCATCTCCCAACACGTTGGTGTCCCATTGCACACGGGAGTTCAACACCGTGAAACCGGGCGTTGGAGCACCACAGTCGTCCTCGTGATCGGCGAACTTGATGTTTTCAACACCGGAGATTTGAATGTGGGACCTCAGGTGCTCAGAAGTCTTGCCAACCATCCAAAACCAAAAGAAATGGAAAGAGTTCACTCGAAGTGGAACTAAGGGAGGCTCCGAAGAGGTTCATTGGCAGAGATTCGGCAGCTTCCTAATGGAACAGGTGCTCATGATTGTTTATAGTTCGTCATAGAGTTATACTGAGTCACACATACTTGCGCTTGTGAAGAAGAAATGGGTGTTGAGTCTGGAGACAGATGTTCAGGGAATTGAGCTTCTTGAGAATAGAGGGCAGAAGACCAAACATAATGGAGAAAGAAACAACCTAAGGGAACGGAACATCAAGTCTTTGTTTTTCAGTGAGCAGGCAGATCATGGCGGGGATCAGTACTGGTGAGCTTAGATTTGAACAGGATCATGCACTTTACACGTGCTTCATTGAACAAACTACATAATTTGAACATTAGACTCTACCATTTCCTTAGCCCAACAACTCTTCAGCCGAGTTCTCAAGAACTGTCGGCCTGACCTGACAGTACTCAGGTCGCGAACGGCTTCTATGGGACGGCTCGGAGACAGCAATAACGGCGGGCGAGCTGCGATGAGTGTTGCCTCAATATGGGAGTTGATCTAAATCTCCGTGTACGGAGTTTTGTATAAAGCAGCCTTTCAGATGTTGCAGACCGCCATATATATCCATATATTAACATACGTAACATAGGTGTGCGTTTTTTTTCTCAGAGACACCCCAACCAATGTGTAGACTGGTCTATTTTCCTTCCAGCAAGCAGGTTGAACTGTAGTACATGCCCAAATGCTAATTTGGAGTTTCTAGTAGTGGTATGCGTTGGGATGTAGAAGTCAGTTCTCCCAATTGACGCTCGCTTCAGATGCTGACATGTTTGGTTTACCATGGTGCCACAATTCATGGGGAAGGTTACTGTAACGGTTAACTTCACATTCATGTGGCTAGACGTATTTGTTTGTAGTGGTGTGCAGTTTGCAGAACAACCTTCAGGTGTTGTTTTTTTTCATTGGCTTTTGGCAGCCATGGATACCGCATGCCACCCCGTAGCCATGGCCGTAACAATCCATTAACATTGACTTACTGGTGGGTGTAATTCGATGACGGGAAGCAACAGACTTCGTGGGTTGAACAGTAGACGCGGTTTCCAGTGACAATGCCCCGTATGGAACAGGAGAAGCTAAAACCCGCTGAACAACGCATATTTGTGCTCAATGATGTTGCAATACAAACACCAATGGAATACTCTGAGTGTGAGTGGAATGGCAATCAATATATACCGTCGGGCCGTCGGGTTCTCCTTGAGAACTATAGATGCTCATCGGATTGGACACATTGCATTGATTGTGCAAATTTAGGTGCATGTAAACGACATCTCCTCAAATCACCCAATTAGATCCATTCAAATAGACCTTGCTTTGCACGAAATCGATTCTGTTCGTGGCATGACCCACGCCCAACTCGGCCCCAGTTGGATTATAACCAGATCTTTTATATGATCTTTTGCCCCGGCCGTGGTTGCGATCGCCGATCCGTGCCACCAAGCTGGTAAGGTCTCCAGCTCGATCACCCGGCCGACCTGGATGGTCCACTCCGCAGGCCGACCTGGAACTGTTGGTGTTTTCCAGTGCGAAAATGTTCACACACAACGGGTATACCGCTGGCATCTCAAATGGAATAACCAGTTTTTTCCCTTTTAGAACTGTTGGGACGCCCCTTCAGGGGTGCTGATGTGGTAAGGGGTGTGCAACGGTGTGCATGGCATCGCGTTTCTCCAAATGGCACCTTCTTGAGGGAGAAAAGACGAACAGAGCTCACACAGTGTACACAGCTTGCTCGACTTTGCATGCTGCCGAAGCCAGGCGCAGAAGATTCGCGGGGAGGGAGGCGTGTGCCCGGCAGTTGGGCACACTCTGACTCACTAACATGGAAGTGGAAAATGCTTTCCTCTTCAAGCAGGGAGTGAACTCCACTTCCATGGAACGCGAGTCAGAGTGTAGACGGATCAGAGACGGACATTTCAAGTACTTGGTACGCTTGGTAGGACGAACTTTGGCCAGATTGTTGCTTTGGGCAGATGGGCAAGTAGACAACCTAATGAATGGCCGTCGCCTGTGCAGAGGGATCACAACTGTGTGTGTGGTTTGTCGGATTTTGTTGCCTATGTTGGAGCAGGCGAGACAAGAGTCCTGAATATATACCTGCAACCTCAAACATACTGTAATGGATTGTAATGGTGCATTCATAAATTTCTGTGCACTACACGTCTTTCACGAAAAGTCATTTTAACTTTTGAAATGCACATTTTCTGATTGTAGCATATTGTAGCCATTTTGGCTGCATTGGGTTGCATGTTCCCAAATAAAAAGCCCCGTCATGAGGGGACAAATGAGAACATGCACAGCTATGTCAGAAGTGAGATGCCTTTGTGCGGGACAAGTGTGTTCTACCCCGACATTCCCGTCAACTCTATACACGTTTTTACCCGTCCAATGCACGTATTTTTGGGGTGCCCGTCCTTTACACGCCCCTCCCGGCCAATACACCTCTCCCCGTCCACTAGCCTACAGTTACGAAGCTTAAGAATCTGTAGTGGGGCATGTTAGCAGGATATGTCAGAGAGTGAACTCAAAAACTGCAAGCCGCAGAGTGCTAGACTCCTAGACCGGATCCGTATCAAAATGAAGGGGGGCCCGGAAGCTGAGCTGGAAGCGCTCCGGCGCAAGTGACAAGCAGGGCCTTCTTGTATGTTTCAAGACAGGACCATGCTCACAGAATTGCACAATCTTGCTTTCAAATGCACAGATGTCTTTAGAGCACACGGAGGTTCCAAACTCAACTGTGCCAAATAAGATGCACGTATAATTGCATGAAGTTGCGTGGAAGTTGCTTCAGCTGCTTTCTTTTGGTCATGGCGGACTTGTCCTGCGCACCGTACACTCCTGGACAGGTATGGTTTACAAACCAGAAGACGAGTGAGCAGAGGTTCAACCCGCCTAGCGGGTGGAGCCTACTGATGCCCTGGAACCGGGCCGCGCAGATGCAGATAGTCTTCTGTCGGCTGTGCAGCTGTCTCAAGGACGAAGCCTTGGGTTTCTGCTCACCAGAGTTTGGGTGGCCAGCCTTGTTAGCCGAGGAGCGACCGTTTCGCCTCATTCGTCGGTTCGACATTGAGCAAAGTAGTGGCAAGAAACGTGTAATTGATGATGCAGCCTCGGGGCCTCAGAGCCTGGCAGTGGTGCCAACCAGCTGAGGTTCTGTTCAGCCGTTCAGCTTTGCTTGCATTTGCAGTGCTTGCACACAGTTCCTGCTCGAGCACCCCAAGAGTGGCCTGATGATATCGTCAGTTTTGGGGAGGACATTCCACAGGCATACCGTAAGATCCCCTTGTTGCCAGATCGCAGTTGGTCTTGCAGTGTTACGTATCGCGTTCCTGCTTTTGATGCGGCTCGATTTCGTCGTTGCCATGGACACTTCTGTTTGGCCTTCCACTGGCCGTCACGTGTCTCAATCGTCATTGCTGTCTCAATCGTCATTGCTCCCTGCAGTCAGCCATAAGCCGTCGTATTTTGATGGTTCTATATAAGTGATTGGAACACTTCAGCCGTTGAGTGCCAGCATGCTGTCCAAACCTTTTGCCAGATCCTGGGATGATGTCCTTTCGCTGGTGAGAAGCAGCAAGCGCCGTCGCAAACTTCTGATTTCTCGGCCTTGTCCATGATCTGACCGAGCGGCGTACCCATGCTCTCGTCAAGCTTTGGATGCGAGATCGCTTGATAGAGAAATCGAGACCCTGTGGTCACTACTGCTCGTCAGGAGCATATGTTTTAAAGACACCCGGCCAAGCCAGCATACATGTATGGCTGCCTCCTGGACCAGCGAGCCTTCGGTCGTATTGCCTGGTTGAATGCTCTGAAAGATCGCCAGTGCTTTGCTTTAAATTAAAGCCGTCTTCGATTTGTTCGTTTCCAACCTATTTCAGCGCGTCGGCTCGTGGTTGCCAGTGACGCTTCCCAGGATAGACCCCAGCAAGGTATGGCGGGGATTTTGGTCAGCAGTTATGATTTTCACCGTGTTGGTTCCGTGATCCAGATTGATCGTACTGTGTTTTCATTGTGGGATGATACTCCAGTCAAGATTCAAGATAGCCCAGCTGGAGCTTCTGGCGGTCGTTCAAGGGCTGTTGACTTTTGCCCACTTGTTTCGGGGGTGCCTGTGTGGTTTGGTGGATAACAACATCGCAGCCCTTGTCATGGCTTTGATTCATTCATGGTCGACCTGATCACAAAGAGCTCGACCGCATGGCGCACATTGCCCCTTCGCTGCTCTTCCACCTTGAGTGTGTTGCCTACTTCGCATTGGACCCCAGTGCCACCAACTGGAGTGATGGAATCTCCCGCGAGGGCAGGGTCTGCAGGGCGTCGCCACAATTTCACTGTTCACTGCAGCGCATTTCACTGTTCTTTTTCAAGTCCTCGCATTCTTGCAAGTACGTTGGGAGTTAGTGCATTGGGATCGGAGTGTAGCTCCTTCACCTACCGGTGTCGAGTATGGTCTCCAGAGGAACTGGAAGTCAACCAACGTAAATGAGAAGATTGCTTCTCATAACAGAACTTCATGCCAGCTTCCGCCCTTCGTGCATGCAGAGAAGAAGACGGAACTACTGCGTTTGAGTTTGAATGTTTTAAAATACGTACTGTATGGGCCTGTCCCTCTCCCATTCCCTGTACCAGTCGGTCAACAAGACCGTCACTATTTTAGAGGTGCCGGCGTGCGACCAGGCCACTGGGCCCAGGGAATGGGACATACCCCGGCCCAAAACTATATTTCAAAGGTACCTCTTTTATAGAATGCATTAAAATCGAAAATTTCATCGAGTGAACCACCCTTACGGGTCAGCCTGGGTCCTAAGGCCCTTGATCCCTCCGCACCCGTCGTGTGCCTTTTTTGGGTCTTGTCTCTGACCTCCGGGGAAAATCGTGTGGCTAGCCTGATGCTTAGGACTTAGGCCTTTAAGTTCAAATGTTTCCTCCTAATGGGCTGCTCGAGAATCCTTTTTCTGAAGAACTTGAGGCACCAACGTAAGTAGACAACTCTGAAAACATTTCTCGAGCCACTGTCACTGATCAGGTGATGGGTAAAAAAATTGGAGCACACTGGGCTATAGTTGGCTCATGTAAAACCCAGGCCAGTAAAGAGACGCGCCCAGACCAAATCCGTTGCTATGGCCTTGCTAGTGGCCTTGCTGCATGGCTGCTTCATCGGGGGAATATCCCAACCAAACGCCTTCAACAAATCGGGATCCGGTAGGCGCCGGTAGGACATCATTATCATTGACCCAACCTGTTTGGTTCGCCTCCAAAGCTCCAGGTTCACCCTCGCCGTGGGCCGTCCCTGCCATGCCGGAGCCCAGCCAGAGTGTGGTGCTCATCCATGGGCACCCGAACGAACGCTCGCGAATGGTACTGTGAAAACTAGATCAACGTGTCCAACCAGATGGAAACAGGTGCAAAGGTGCTGAATACATCATTGGTCAGGATTGATCTGATTGATCTGATTGAATGATGCGTGTGACCTTCCAGTTCGACCCCCCTGGAAAGTTCCTGTGGCCCTGCTTCTTCGCACCGACACCGGCCCCGCGATCTGGATCACGGAAGCATGGGAGGTTTCAGGCCAAACATGCGCCAAACGGTTCCATTTCGGACTCCAGTGCAGTAGGTTTTGTGCCCATAATCCTCTTCACTACCAACTATTCTCCAGAGAATCTTCAGAATTGTCCCCAAGTCCAAACCCTATACCCACGACAAAGACAAACTCCGCCTTGTTGATTCTGCCGTTTGCCTTCTTGCTTTGGGACCACCTTGCGTCTAAATGTATTACGGAACAGCGGCAACAATTATAATGCGTCCTACCAACCAGGGAAAACCTAGCGACACTGTTAACTGCTACTTTCGGACGCTGCTGGAGGCGAGCCCGCAAGAAAGTTGGGCTTGCTGGTTCTCAGCTCCCTCCAGACTCCACACCAAACAGTGAGTTTTTTTTCCATGTTCGTTTGCATTGTGGCTGGTATTTGGCACCTGGTACCGTATGTAATGGGTAGCAGCGTTGGCAGTACTTGGACAAATCCTATGACAGCATGCAATTGTACCCAGGTCAAGGAAGCATTGCCAGGAGTGACACCAAGGCTGTGTTGTCGTCATCAGGGCAGTCGCGGTCTAGCTTATTTCAGGGGGGAAATGTTGTGATTCAGCCAGGAACCCCTTTTGGATGTCGTTGCAAATTCTTGAATTGAAACTCTTTTGGAGGGCATTGGAGGATGAATTTCTCTGGATGCAACATGACCGCCTCGGCCCAAGAAGTCGGGGACGGATGAATGGCCTCCTGTTGTCCAAAGATGGAAGGACTCAACCGAAGGCTGTGAACCCTACCCGTTCAAAACACATGGCATACAGCATACTGTAGTACAGCATCATGGGATTGATGATATCCTATACATGCATCCTGTATCCTATACATCTATTATTGTTTTAATATGTGTTTCCTACGGGTGGTGCGGGTTGTTTTTTGCAACATTAATATATAGTTCACCCCTCGTTCCAATTTTCTGAAAATCGTGAAGAAAAACACTTGCAGGAAAGATCTACGTTCGACCTTACTGGTCCTAAGGGGACAACCCCAGCCAATTAATCATAATGACATTGTTTGCAGCGGAGAAACCCACTTCATTGACCTTCTTCACCCAACCAGGTAACCAGGACCCAGCATACAATGGGGAATTTTAGATGGTTTAAGTTTTTTTTTGTGCGCAACGATCCAGTCACACTACAAAAGCACACTTGACGTGATACAAAACTATATATATGTATATGCAACCTTTTGTTCATTCGTTCAATGGGACAAGTCATCCGTTTCTTCGACCAGCCTCGCCAGGGCGGCTCGCTGCTGGGAAGCCTGGTTTTGCCGCCTATTTTTGCGGTGGTGAAGAGGGATGAAGTACACTCCGGTGAACACATCATGAAGCTTCAGCTCACCCCCAAGCTCCCCCCACCCCGAATTTGGTCTTTGGAAGAAGTTGCCCATGAGATTTATCACCATAACCTGCGTCTCCCACAAAGGGGAAGATCGTTGGAGCCTTTTTTCAGGAAGACCACGCGATGGCCGCGTGTCCTTTTTTTGGGATAGCTATTGCATGCTAATGCCATATTGATTGTTATTGTTTGAGCATTGATGGAGATAATCAATCTTCACAACTGGGGGTTTGTGGCATGCTCAAGGTTTGATCTTTGGTTTGCATGTCCTGTCCGTGCTAGACTCCATCATAAAGGATATTCAAGGTGTCTCTATTGAGTCTATTGACCACCCCTTGGCTTCTTCAGGCCAACCTTTGTCGGTCCTGGTTGAGTAAACCAAGCCCGTTGGGGACGCCCTTTGATGCCCAGTGCGACGGAACAAAGCGGACGCGTGATACGCGTAGAGGGAGTCCAGCCGAGCCAAGCAGCTACAGTGTAGAGTTCCTGGACTCCACTGGGAGTCCTGGTATGGACTGCTTCCAAGAAAAGCCGCATCCTAAGAGGCTGAATGAACTGAAACTCGACCTGGAGATCCAGGTGACCCGGTCTGGGACATCATGTGGACTGCTGATGAATCAAACTCCCCTAGCTGGATGGATGACCATATTCAAACACCTCCGGATGGACCGAATCGGATGATATTGGATGGATGGTTAAGTCGTTGCAAAGAGTCCAGTTTCATGATGATGTCCTGCCTTCAAGGGGCCATGGGAATCCTTGGGCCTTCAAGGGGCCATGATGAATCGATCGGCTCCATACTGAAGAACTCACTACAAGTGCCACGCTGAAAGCCAGGCCCAACCCCTCCGCCCAGGCTGGGCACCATCATTGATGATGTGGCGCAGCTGAGCGTCACCTTGTCCCAAGAAGTGTGAGTTAGCCTCCCTCCCTCCAACTAACATGGTTACTGATGTTACTTGGCCCCTTGAGGAAGGCTGTTTTCCTCCACTAACCGGTGGTTTCTCCACTTCCATGAGTGTTTCAGGGAGTCTTGGGAAGGCACCGCTGACGCACTGTACTGCTCCTCGTGGGGGTCGCAAACGGTCCCGTCGGCGAGCACCGTGGGCGTGGAATATAAATCTTTTATTGTGAAGGTTCACCCACCGTCATTCAGTAGCTTTTTCGCTTGCAAGCGTCAGGCTGCAACGAAGAGGGCGGTTTGCGCTTGGAGTGCGACAGTCGAATCCAACATTTGAAGAACAGGGGCGCATGGAAAGTCTGGAAACTCTAGAAACCTGCTGCTTTCGTCACGGCAAAGCCTTTGTGGAACGTCTCCAGCAGCACTGTGTTTCAGGAAGTTGGACGTGGCTCCCAACAATGTCTAGACCACAATAGACCCGACTCCATAGCTTTGAGGCCCGACTCTACAGGTTTGAGACTCGACTCCACACGTTGAGACCATAGTAGCTCGACATTGAAGTTCCCATTCCAAGGCACAAGTCGAACGCCTCCTCAACCGCCGAAAGGATCTTCTGAGCCCGGAGCCTCCAGCTCTGCCACGGGGGAGGTGAAGACGGAGACGGGAGTGTAGAGGTTGAAGGGGTTCCCGGGTTCCCCAGCCGTGTTGCTTGGGACTATACTGTACCAGGACCCTCCAAGGGGTGTCTATTTATAGCCCCTTAGCCGTTAAGGGGTGTCCATTAACCACCCCTTGAAGGTCCAGGTATGTGTGTGTGTGTGTGTGTGTTGGCAATAGTTGCTTCCGTGGGCACACCTCACCCGATTTGATGCTACATGTAACATGTAGCCGGAGGGAAAGCCAACCTCCACAAGCATTGGAAGGGGAGCATTGCTTTCCCAGCAGGAGGGCTACACGCCACTGTGCTTCCACAGAGAACTTTCACAAGAGACCCATGCTACTGCTATGGTGACGGCTTTGGGGCTTCGCGAGCTGTTGGGATACATACAGCATTATACAAGCATTTGCAGCACCTGTATGATATCAGATGCCTCCACCCGAAAGGTTTTGCCAGCATCTCCTCCAAGGCGACTTTCAGCAGACTGAAGAGATCCTGCGAGAGGTCGTGGCGCTCCTCGGTGTTGCATTGGGCCCATTTCTCACACTCGTGTTCGACTGTGTGTGGTTCCAGGGTCCGACCGGATTCTCCGGAAGGTCAGCCTAAGGACCAGAAGGTTCCTGGATGTTTTTTTCTCCATTTCCACGAAGTCCATGGAGTCCACCAAGTCCATGGAGTCCACGAAGTCCATGGAGTCCACCAAGTCCATGGAGTCCATGGTTCCGAGTGCCTGGTGTCACTGGTGTCCTAAAACCTGCCCGTTGAGCCCAAAAAGGTCCCAAGGTGCTGGAGCACATGGTGGGAGCACTTGTGGGTAACGAGGCGATTCGGTAGAAGGATGTAGAAGGTAATGATCACGATCTCAACCTGCGGATCCAGAGTAGAAGGTCATAGAGTTTTTGGAGCCCCATGTGCTCATCCAACATCATCCAGTGACAGACTGGCAGCACTGAGTTTAGAGGTCTTTTGGTCACTCCAATCCCGATATGATTCGCCGATTAACCTCAGATATTCATGGAATTACATACCCCCCCCGCGGAAATTGAATTGCAGGCACAGGGGACAAGAGCACGTTCTTTATTGATAGTGCTGGTCCTCAAGGTCGCTCTCGGGTTTTACTGGGGAGCGGTTTGCCTCCCGCTCGCAACAATATCCTTGGACGCACTGGTACCTCAAAACTACTTCCAGTTGGAGCCTGCTCGTGGAGACGCATGGGTTCAAGTGGCTCGCCAAACGCCCATGTTCCTCCTGGACGTGCTGCGGGACAACCGAACATCCATCCCCCATTGGTTCAACAATCCGTCAGGGCCATGTTTTTGTAGATTTTGCTGCTCAACTGCTTTCCTCCTGTGGATCGATTGGACGCAATCAATATGCATCCTAAGGCTCTCACCCAGTGATGCAAGCCAAGAAGGCTGGGGAGCTGTGGTCGATTGGAGCTCAACTCTCGCCGCAGAGGATCATATATCAACTGCAACACTGTCCAAAACAAACAGTCCATGGCTAGGAGGACAGGTCTGTTCAGACAATGTGCCTTTATCAGAATGGGAATGTGATTGTTGATGTGGTGGGGGACTTGCTAGATGAACTTAAACTTGGAACAGTCCGTACACAATTATCACTATTTTAGAACAAGGCCTTTACTAACCATCATCATCCACTGTTACTGGTAATAGGACCGGTCCAACTATTTTTTTTATGGACCCATGTGGACCCTCTAAGATGGTTTGACCGATCAAAAGAAGAGGGGGGGCGGTGTATTTGATGCCCCCCTACAGCGCCCCTACAGCCCCCCCTACAGCACCCTGCAGCAGCAGATACTAAGAGCATTCTGCTCTTGAGATCTGGTAAAGTTGAAGCTGTGCGCCACTTCACGAGTGCGATTTGAAGCAGGGCACGGATTCCATCATTTTCCTGAAGTGACAGCACAAGCTCAGCGTCACGGAGGGCCTCACTTTGTTGCACAAAGCGACTTCGTTGGCTCAGTGACCAGTCCACATAGGAGAGGAAGTTCAGTTTCGCCCTCTAAGTGCAGAGGTGGGCATCGGGTATCTCACCATAGGTTGTAAGATGTTCCTATAAGCCTAAATAGTTGTTTTTTACTTGTAGTAGTAGCTTTAGAATAAGTCACGAAAGGTAGCCCTTCAGGGGATACCTTGAGTTTGTCTTGCGAAGCAAGTGTGGGCTCCTCCGGACCTAATAATTGATAGTTCAATTCAACCCCCCCCCCCCTCTCCCCCTGACCGCTTCATCCCGAAGTGGATCACCTCGACACCTCGATGGTTATTTGGTGTTGAGCACGCTTGGGGCAGTGTTTGAGTCCATGAAGAGACATGACATGTTGTTTTTAGTGCTTCTTGTCGTTGAGGATTATCGAATTTCTATGTACATATATATATATATATACTTGGTACAGATGACATTGTGAGTTGTGCAACGACCTCCAAATCACCACCTTTCCTATGTCATTTGTCCACGGTCTCCAAAAAGAGAGGACAGAAATGTAAAAAAGCAAAACGCATCTCATTTGTGCAAATCCTCAGAATCTCGGATTCCATGGTGGCCCAAGCCCTACAGAGTCCATGACAAGAACCAAATCGCTCATGTGGTTGTGAATAGGTCAGGGTCCCATCTCATGTATCCGCAACCTATAATGCCGGGGTTGACAAACAGGCAGTGGTTGCATGAGATAAGACCTGCAGCTTTATATCTAACTTTGGTCTTTTCCTCCATTCTCAAGTTGACGTTTGATTCGACCCCACCAACACCACACTGCATATGTTACGTCCTTATTGTCCTCCGGCTTTCCTACCTTTCGTGTGTCCCGCTTCTCAAGTATATTCTATCTTTAAGAAGCCTGAAGCAGCATTGAGAAGAGCATGTTGTGGGGGATTGGACCTTCATCCTCAGTTGGCCGCAACGCTGGGCCAGGAGACGGGCGGAGGCGCCGGGAGACGGGCGGAGGCACTGGGTGACGGGCAGACACGGCCCTGGAAAGACCGTGAAATCCTCTACAGACAGGGGGGTGAACTCCACTTCCATGGGCAGGAGGAAGGGTGTTACTGGTTATACAGCAGTGGGCATGGCACCCCAGGTCGCACAAAATGTATCCACCCTACAGAGCCTTTGTCGAGTACCTGGCTTAGGCCGGAGATGCTACCCCAGTGTACGGCGAACCAGTTGTTTTTGCTTTCATCATGTGTTTGATCGACCGTTGAACATTGTCTCAGACCATCCATGGGACTGGCCTATACCTACGTATATTGGGATGGTCGCGGGAGTCGGTGTAGGCATTTTCCACACATGGACCTGGATGGTTTGGGTATTTGCACCTTCGGGATTCTCAAACAGTTCAGGCTTCACCGATGTGCAGAGGGGATGAATCTTGGATGGGCGGCTCATCAATAGATTTTTCCAAGGGACCCCTGACCTTCTGGAACAACATCGTGCCCCCTCATGGGCTTCTCATACCACTAGCAGAGCCCAAGAAAAGTTGCCGAAAGTGGCTCAGCTGACCACGCGAGGCCTTAGAAATCAGCTTTTCCAACTGAGCGCGGAAATCTCATGTAGCAGATTCAGGGCTCAGGACCGGAGGTTGAGTGGAACTTCGATTTCAATCACTTCGGAGGATGCTTTTGCAGGATATTTTGACCTCAGCAAGAGTGGCAGTGCTCCACACTTCCATGTTCCGGTCTAGCGGTTCCTGTTGAGTCTGAAGTCCTGCCTTTCTCGTGCACTGTGACAGTGCTCCGACCGTCCGGGGGCACCGCGCGAGCCTTCTCGGCTCGCGCGGTGTAATTTGGGATCGCCCTCCCTTGGCCGTCCCTGGTTGGCCCAACATGAACGGAATGGACGTCTAACTTGGAGAGATCGACGTCTAGCGGGTGCGGAATGGTCTTGATGCTGGAGATGTAGCAAACTGGAGACTCTTTGGAACGGTAGGCTGGTTGGGATGAGTTCAGTATGTTGGCGATGGCCAGAAGCCACAGAGGTTGCTTGGAGGTCCCAAGTCTGAATTCAAGTGTTCACGTGTGAAAATGGATGCTGATGGTCGTCAGACCCGGGAGTGAGTGGGTTGTTTGAAATCTCAAGTTCATCGTCAGGACTGCCTTCTTTTTGGGCACCCGCATGAGCACAATTCCGGCCAAGGGGGATGTTACAGATCCCAGTGGGGTTCTACCTGCCTTTCAGGGGAATCAGGTACAAAAAGATGCCGTGAGTGACGTGTGGGGCGGTGTGGATGGCTTGGGCGGATTCTGAGCAGTGGAGGCACCTTCCCGGCGACCATTCCAGGTAGCCAATAGGTGTTAATCGGGCCCCCCCGTGCGACCCCTATGTCTACAGCCTACAATTTGTTCAGACCATTTATATTTCTAGGGATCCTAATCTCAAAAAAAGGACATCCCAGAGTGGAGTTATTGCACCATCATCCCACTGCAACACCTCATGTTAGTAATGCTGCAATCTCCAAGGTAGCTGTGTGGTTCTTTCATATTCTGGCACCTTCACATGTGCAGCCTGATTCTGACATTCAACTGCTTCGCGGCTTCGTCAGGTACTGTGAGAGTCCCACGGCTCCACTTCAAGCCCACGGCTGACCTTAAATCACCTAAGACACGAGTGATCACAGCTGACCTAAAGCATCCCATGGACCCTTCCAATCCCAGTGTTTTTTTGCTCACCACATTTTACCACCCCGGAGATTTTAGAGCAAAAGGATGCATGGGGGGAAACGTTGTTCCGACCACGATCATCCAGACCAAGACCGTCCACCTTTACTTCGGGCACCAAGATCGAGCGCAGATCGAAGTTGCCGCTCCAAGAATAGCGGTGCGCGGTGTGGTGCCATGGTGCTCCTGAATGTGGTGATTCCTCCAGGGATGAAGCCTGGCCAAGAGATCCAAGCGACCAGCCCTGATGGCGTCATCGCGGCCTGGTCGGAATGGATGAATCTGGGCCGGTCAGACGCGTCATGTGCGACGGTGGCAGCGGTGGCATGACCAGACGCGAATCTGGGGGCGATGAATTTCTGCTTTGCCTGAAGGAATCTAGGGAAGTAGGAAGAATTTCTCTAGAACCCCCTATTGGCCCTAACAGACCTTGTTCTGCACATCCTACTGAAAAGGCTCGTGGTGTTGGAGACCTTGTTCTCCACCAATAGGCTGGTCGAACAGACTTTGGTATTTTGATGCTTTGGGGATTCAATCCCAAAGACCAAAAGAACCATGAAGAATCTGATTGATTCAACAATCAACAATAATACAGACATATCATATCATATCATATCATTGATATATATGTGTATATATATATACATAATAGAGAGAGAGAGGTTCTGCAACCTTTTGAGCCACGGCTTGGCCGCCGCTGCGAGTTCTGCGGGGCTCACGCCCCTGAAAGAACCAACAAACTGGCCGGCGACTTCTTGGGGCCTTCCACGCCCGAAGGACCAGACGGGGACGGCCTCGGACCCAAGGACGAAACACCGATTTTCTTGGGGCAGACCAGCGGATGACCGCAACAACTGGCCACAATGACAGCAAGAACAGCAGGGATGACCACAATTTTTTGGATCAAAAGCTGGATCTCACTGGTAGTCCGTTCTGTTCATCAAGGTCCCCCGGGTTTGACTCAAATCATGGCCATGTGAATATCTATGTGGTATGCGCATGCATTTGCATTGTCGTTGTCGTGGCTTTCGTTTTGCGGATAAAACATGATAGAACGGATCTACGATGGATTCTCATGGATCGTGGCAAGCGGGAAGGTCTTGAGACCTACGCACACGCATGCGCAGGATGATACCCTGGGATCCCTGAACCTTTTCGCAGTTCCGTTTTCGGCATCTGGGCCCTAACCGAGAGGACATGGCCACTGCACCCCCATACAAATAGACGAATCTAGCCTGCATACTCCATGAGAGTTTGACCTGCATGAGAAAGGAACCACGGTGGCCGGGGTCCCATGTCAGGACATGGAACGTCATTGAAAGGACTGGAGGAGGTCATCCAGCTGGACAATAGTAAGCTTCACTTGCCGCCCCTTCCGTTTCCAAGCAGGAGCCAAGTTAACTAAGCCCTGGGGCTGTGTGGGCGCCGCTTGCAACTGAAGTTGAGTGGCCTGTACGATGCATGTTGCGGTCAGGCTGAGGCTGCGAACGCAGCAGTTAGGCCAGCAGACCACAACTTGTTCCCAGACCTTGCTTGATTGATCTTGATTGTGTTTTGGCACCATGTGCCGAGGTCAAGGCCACGATTCCCAGCGGTTTGAAACCTGGGCAAACATTCTCCGTGCAGTACACTGCCCCCGCTGGTGCCACAGCTGGCGCAGCATCAACGAGCACGCCATCTGGGAGCTCCTGCATTCGGCTCATGAGGATGCAGCTTGTCGAGGGTTTATTGGCCGTTGGCTCAAACACTAACTGTGCCATACTGTGGCCCTTCCCACGGTGCAGAATGGTTTGCTTTGCAAGTGATCGAAGCAGCCGGTGGGAAATAGCATGAAATAGCTTTGAGTTGAGGAAGCGGACACCCAACCCCAGGCACCTATGCTCACATTTACTTTGCCCAGGTCCTTCGCAATGTGTTCACACCGTTGGGGTGTATGGACCCCACAACAAATTTCCTTGCATGAGGTTGTGAAATAGAAGGGTAGGAGTGGTATCAGCTGATTTTGCCAAGTGCCACCGCCACATTGTAAAGAGACCTTGCCCGTATCTTGTGCCAACAAACATGCTGAATGTCGTTTAGCTCTTGCGGGTTGCAGAAATCAGGGTTCTGAACATTAATCTGGATTAATCCTCTCCCTCTCTGCTCAAACAAAGTGATTCCTCCTTTGCATCTGCGAGCCTGTGAAACCTGGTCATGGTGTTTGTGGACCCTAGCTCTTTGCATATTGGACCATTTTCAGACCCATGTCTCGTGTGTAGCCTCTCCTGAGTCCCTCTCCATGGGTCTGAACTTTTTGTGTTTTTTGTTTTGGCTGGTCTGTCTAAAAGTGTCGAAAAAACAAAAAAGGTTCAGACTTATGTCCCCTGCCCAGCCTCTCATCAGTCCCTCTCCATGGGCCTGAGCTGTTTGCTGTTTGTTAGTTGTTATTGTTTGATTTATTTATTTCGTTGTTTCTTTTTTGGTGTTGGTTTTCTCAAGGTTTTGGTTTGACCCTGGGATATGACTGTTTACTATCAGCATTTATGTCTCATTCAGTTCTAATTAACACTTCTAATTTAATTCTAAGATTTTTAACCTTTACAAATACAATTAAACTCCATTCAAAGTCAATTCTTATTCTAATTTCATTTCTATTTCTATTTAAATTCTATATTTTATCTAATTGAATTTTAAATTGCTTCAAATTTGAGTATGTAACATACTTCTACTTTAATTCTAAAGTTGGGCCTCAATAGACCAAAAACTAGTCTATTTATTTTAAAACTCATCGTAGTCAAATTCTAATTCAATGTTTCTAATCCACTTCCGTGTTAATTCCAATTATGTTTGGCTGTTTCAGATCTAGTTGAATTCAAAGGTGAGTTTAGGTTGAATCTGCAACATGCTTTTTATGTAATTCTAAGTTGAGCCTAATTGAATTCTGTATTGAGTCTGCAAATTAATTCCAAATTGATTCTAAGTCAATACTGTTTTACAAATCAAGCTCTAGGTTTTTCCTCCTCTAATTCAATTCTACCTTACTTCTAAATCATTTTCCATTTAAGTAATGATTTTTGATTCAATGTTATTCATTCAATTCAAATTAGTTCCAGTTTGTTTCTAATTTAGTTCTTTTTCATTCTGTTTTGGATCCAGTTGTACCTTTGTGTTTATTCCAATATGTTTGTTTCTTTAGAAATCAGCTACAAATATATTGGAATAAACACAAAGGTACAACTGGATCCAAAACAGAATGAAAAAGAATTAAATTAGAAACAAACTGGAACTAATTTGAATTGAATGAATAACATTGAATCAAAAATCATTACTTAAATGGAAAATGATTTAGAAGTAAGGTAGAGTTGAATTAGAGTACAGTTCAGATGCAATTGTTTTACACATTTAACATTTTAATTTTGATTCTATATGTCGAATTTGATTTCTAGTTTTTGATTTTAGTTCAGAGCCAATGGAATTAAAATTCAATTGTGATTTCATTCTAGAGAGTGGGTGTTACTGGTGGTGTGAGTATTTCATTTAAGAAAAAGGCTTTTATGTTGGAGAAACTACATAAACCTTCATGTTCAAAACAACACCAATTCTCTTGAAGTAGGCGGGAATTTCATAAATTACGTTCCTTCGAGTGATCCCCACCATGAAATTTCAAAACAGCCACGTTGACATCACCCTCGCCCTCGTTGTGTATTTCAGCCCATAGCACAAGTCCTTCATCGTCAAGTCTTACTCTTTGTCAGAAGCGAATGCTTTCATCAGGAGACCTGTGCCCAACTAATAATACAACTCAGATCATTCAGTAGTCGTACTGGGCGGCCCAAAACTAGGCAACTTCCGGGCCCGAGCAGTAGTAGTAGTAGTAGTAGTAGTAGTACCAGTACTAGTACTAGTAGCTAGTAGCTAGTAGCTAGTAGCTACTAGTAGTAGTAGTAGTAGTAG